ATCTGTCTGTCCGTCCGTCCGTCCGTCCGTCCGTCCGTCTGTCTGAGTGTCTATATATCTGTCTGTGTGTCTCTATCAATCAATCAATCAATCAATCAATCAATCTATCTATCTATCTATCTATCTATCTATCTATCTATCTATCATCTATCTGTCTGTGTCTGTCTGTCCGTCCGTCCGTCCGTCCGTCCGTCCGTCTGTGTCTGTCTGTCTGTCTCTGTGTGTGTGTGTGTGTGTGTGTGTGTGTGTCTATTTAACTCTCTAAACAAGGAGTGACAGATGTTTCACTTGCTTTTCTCACCATGTTTTATTTCTCATATAGGAAACAGACACTGTGAGGAAACACTCTATTTGTACCTGCAGAGGCTCTTGATGAGATGTGCTGCAGTCCTGCTGATGGTTTTTGGGAACTCTAGCTCATCTATTCCCTTCAGAGATGCTGTATAAACCTTCAGCTGCTCCGAGCCAGAGAACAGGGGACTGGAAATTAAATTGAACATTTAAATAAATAAATAAAAAACACTGTTATAGTAATGCACAAGCAATAAAGGCCTAGCAGGCAAGATGAAGGTTTTAAAAATCTGAAGTTCATAGAGTTGTTATTGCTTTGACTCAATTTTGGCTTGATTTTTTTTTTCTCTCAAAACAATAAGTTCAGATGTCTGAACACTTAGCTTCTTGTTCACATCAGATTTGAATTTCTTATTGATTTAGGAAAATTGTAAATTGTGTTGTGGCACATATGTGCAAATTAGTAAGTACAACTGTCTACAATTTGCACAGTAACTAAATGCACATGGCTTGTTGATCAAAGCTGGTAAGTGGTAACAACATATGGTAAAAAGAAGCTCAGCTGTGCTTGCTTGTCATGCAAGAACAAAGTGCATTGGTTTGCCCCATTTTTAATGTGCTGTATAATCAATGTTTATATGTGATTACAAACCTAAATTAAATCTGACAGAATTATGACAGAATTTTTTTATTGGTTATACTTTTTAAACATTTATTTGTAGTGCAACCCACCTGCTAAGCTTCCATTCTAAATATATTAACTGGTGACTGATGAAGGGGAAACCCAAAAATGTCACCTTTTTGCTCTGAGCACTGAATTTTGTTGGATTTTTGTCCTCGGAAATAGTGTGCAAGCTCTTTTTTGTTCCTTTTATTTGAAACAAGCCAGAATATTACTTGATGCTTATATATAAGCCTACTGTAATACACTGTAAGAGTCTATAGGCAGTACTGCCTTTGCAAAATCACAAAAGAATTGCTACAAGATGTAGAAAAAATCCCTCACCTGCCATTGAGCAATTCATACAGCAACATCCCTAGAGCCCAGAGATCTGCGGACAGACCGTGACCTTGATGCAGAATGACCTCTGGAGGCTGATAACCCACAGATCCACAGAACGACCAGGCTCTGTGCAAAGAGCCCAGCTTCTTAGCACAACCAAACCCTGTCTGTTAGATAGAGAGAGATAGAGAGAAACACAGCTGAAGTGTTAGAATAGTTAAAATTACCCAGTATGAATCATCACAAACAAGTGGTTACAGGCTGCCATCTGGTTTAACTGGTTTAATGGTTGAATTTGTATCTATTCTGCACCAGTTTAGCGTATCCTCGCTGGTCCAGGAGCACGTTTTCAGGTTTCAGGTCTCTGTGAACAATGTCTTTGGCGTGTAGTACACTAAGAGCTTCCAGAACACACGCTGCATAGAAGCGAACAGCATCTTCTTCCAGTGACCCCCTGAAACAGCAAACCACATATTAGTCAGCCATTGTCAGTTTAGTTCAGTTCATAAGATGATGTGTTCACTGTAGCATCGAGTCTTTACATGTTTTACTTTTGTACATTTTTAGCTAAATACCATCAGCTTCTATTGATTAGTTTATAAAAATTCCTTAAAATGTCAGTTACATGTCAGAGTTAAGTGATTTACAAATCACTAAAAAGAATCAGTTGAGAATAATTGTGTGCAACTAACACTGTGTGTACGCTGAGATACTGAGACTGTATGTACCTCTGTCTCAGTAAATTCCACAGATCTCCACCTTCACAAGCCTCCATCAGCATATACAGGCACCGAGCATCTTTATAGGTACAATGCAACCTGACCAAACACATAAAACTTTGAATTTTACAGCAAAACACAACATTGCTATTGACACATTAAAAAATGACATTTCATTGGCAATTAATTGACAGGCTGATATGAACGGGCAATATCTGTATTTTGGGAATTACATACTGTTATTTATTTTTGATATTGAAGTTTTATTTTTCTTCTTTCAATCACTACAGATACATTTGTTTTACAACTGTCATTTGTTATCAGTTTTATGCCAACCTATGTCCTTCAACAAATGTTATAAAAATTTTGAATTTGATATTTATCAAAAAATCCTCATAGCTTCCTCCTCATTACACTGAAGACGAGTAATGATGCTGAAAATTCAGCATTGATCACAGACATAGATGTAAAATATATTTACATAGAAAACAGCCATTTTAAATTGTAATAATATTTAACATTTTTGTATTTTTGGAGAAAAAAAAATCATAATAATGCAGCCTTGGCAAGCAAAAAAGAGACTTTTGAAAATCACTAACCCCAAACCTTTGAGCTTGTACAGTAGTGTATCTATGGTTAAAGGAGTCTAATAAGGAATGCAACTACTTAAAAAGGTTTCAATTAAATGCAAAAAGGGGTTTATTGCCTGATGTCACTGGTTTCACACATCATTCTATAAAGAACCTAGTTCTTCAGAAACCATTTACTCTATGTGCTGGTGTTTTAGAACTCAGAAACACACTGATAATGTAACTGTAATGAAACATTAAGAACTTTCTCCAAAAAACTGCAGCCCTGCACCTGCGAGCAAACCAGCTCAGGACCAACTAAGGACCAGCTTAAACTAACTCAAACCAGCTGCCATACTTCCTTTTTTCAAAAGGAAATCAAGGTCTTCAGACTTCACGAGAAACTTGAGAAGAGAATTGGACACCCCTGCCCTGGTGTATGTTCTGACCTTACTATAAACAGACTTTGGAGATCCATCAGGATGTGTTTCTCTGCGAGTATCCTCTCTCTTTGGCCTGGGCTCTGTATCGCCTGTTTTCTAATGGTCTTCAATGCAAACTTACAGTTGGAGTCACTCTTCAAATGGACCTAATGACAAAAAACTTTGGCTGAATTATAATTACTACATGGAACTTTTATTTTTTTCATCAAAACAAGCATAAACTGCAGGGCTAATTAATAATACACATTGTACAGAACTCACGAGCTGAGTGTGACCGCACTGTCCTTCTCCAAGATTACACAGCATCTGAAAACTGCTGAGAGACGTTTCACCAAACGCAGACCCATCTTCATCTGCCCTGTTTGTTATATAGAGATGCCCTTCATTAACATCACACTGGTGATGTTTCATTTATTTCAGTGAATAATGTCAAATACACAGACTTTTAAGTCTTACTCCGATCTGGCCTTGTTGCTAGGATTTTTTCTGGCATCGTCCAAGCCTCCAGTTACTTTTTTGAAAACCCTGGATATAGACGGTGGAATATAGCCAAGGTCAGCTTTACAGCGTAAGTTTGAATTAGTTATGTTTTTTCGCCCACTTTGCTGTTTCCATAGCATGTAAGTTGGTTTATCCCTCACGGTGCACACTTACTCTCTGTCTATGAGCAGACATGTCACATCGCCTGCGGCAAGAGCGCTCATCGACCTCACGTCGTCTCTGGAGAGCAAAGGCACAGGTCTGAGATGTTAATGTTATACATGATACCTTCTGACTTGAATTTCAATGGTCCTCAGTGAAGCCACAAAGCATTCAACATGCACATGTTTGCAGTTCTCTTGCTTCAGGGCAAGTTAGAAAAATGGTGCACGACCTACAGTACATTACATAAGTGATCTAAAATTATATATGCTCCTCTTTTGTTAATATGCATGGTTGTCGTGAGTTTCTCTGGTCCTACATAAATATCACCGGTCGTATTTCTTGTGTTGGATAGGTAATAAGCTGCGAGGTAAATCTCGGAGAGTGGCGCCCCCTGCTTGTGAGGGTTGAATCTTACCCTCTCTCTCCAAAACAATCCCCTCTGGTGAGGACGGACACCATCAAACTCTCCTCACTGGCTGAGTGCTTCTCTAATACTTTCACCTAAGAATGAAAGCATGCATACTGTTATGCTATTACTGCACTACAATCATCTCTATATCTATCATACAACAAATAATTATGCAGTCAAATTTTTTGACAATTCTTTTCCAACGTAGTTGAGCAAGTTTTGTCTCTTATTACATAATAAAATAAAATAAAAATTATATACAGTCAAACCAAAAATTATGCAGACACCAGATATAATTTTTTATATTTTTTTTACTAGTAAGTGCAGGACACTATAGTTCATTTATGTAAGTGAGGATAGCAAAATAAAGTAAACTGTGACAAATTATACCCAAAAATTCTTCATACAGTGGACTACCAGTAAAATTTGGGACCAAAAATTATTTAGACAGTTTGACCTGATCATGTTTTGCTTAAATGTTTTTCTTTAATTGCTAATGCGACCTTTTAACACCACAGACTGAACACAATGAAGCATTGCTTGGTAATTGGTTGCTTGACCTAAAGTGGTATTATCTAATTGTGTTCTTAAATGTAACAGCTGACAGCTCTTCAACCGATTTCATTACATACCTTTCTATCAAAGTTATCTGACATTATCAAGATGAATTTGTTCTGACACAGACTAGTTGTCATATGTCTACTTTATGAACAGTTACAGTTTTTCTAAGTCGCTTTGGTGCATTTCTCAGATCAGAAATTAAATTCTCAAAACTGCTTGTTCAACCTCCACAACATCTAGTCACTTGTGCACATCATAAAAGCAGTTTCTCACTCTTTTGAACAAGTTGTGATTGCTTTGGTACATTCATACAATTGATTATGTACATTTGTCTGCGGTTTCCTACATTATCAGTTGCTAATGTCATGTTAATGCTTAAAATGTATTATATAGTTTTCTGTGCAATAGTCTTACCCCACAAAACATCTAGTCATTAGTTCATCGTATATGTCATTACATGCAAAATGGTTCATCTAGTTGTCATAAACTGTCAAGCATATTTTCTACACATTTCTATAAGTCTTTTTGTAAATTTGCCATGAATTGTGCAGGTGCATTTCAATACAGTAACTTTCATCCAAACTGTTGCCATAGTTTACATCAGGTAATACTAACAGAGTGCACTGTTATATTGACAACATGACTACGCATTTTTGACTATCTTGTTTGAGAACAATGACATAAGGACTTTTCATTCTGGCACTGATAGGTTCATTGACATATATACTTTTGAGAGATGAACTAAAGATTTTGAGTAAGTTACAGGCTCAAATATTAAGTATGATTTGAGAAATGCACCAAAGTGAATGAGAAAAACTATAAATGTTTTCCCCCATTGTGCAATAAAAATATATGCAATAACCTTATATTTAATTGTTACCACCCATCCTAGTCCCAACATCTTATTCTACTCTATTCATATTCTATTCTATCTATAGCACAACTGTACATACAATTTATTTTATTTTTCTATTTATTTTTCTATTTTTGTTTATTTATATTTACATATGTGTATTTTTATTCTCATCTTATTTTTATTGTCTATGTGTAGTTGTTGTCTCTGTGTACTGGAAGCTTGTGACACTAAAACCAATTCCTTGTATGCGGATGAATACTTGGCTATAAAGCTCTTTCTAACTTCTATTTGATTACCATTTTCAAAACTATAGCGAATAAACTGTGATAATGTGAGAAATGTTGAAGGTGTCTGAATAAAATTTGGTTTGACTTTATCTATTTGATAAATTAAGTTAACCAACTAACAATATACATACCCTTTTGGTTTCTATACCCAATAT